AAATAACTTTTTATATGACGACTGAAAAACGTTTGTTTAGCTACTTTGCTACCAGCGAAATCATTGAGATCGCAACTTCGAACTGAAGCTGTCACCGCTTGACGAAACTCCGTTACCACAATTTTAAAATAGTTTTCTTCAGGGGCAAAAAGCAGAATTAAAATGCATTCGAGACCGTTGACTTCGATTTTGAATTCGTTTAGTTAAGATTTCAAGCCACCACAAGGTCTTATGACCTCTACTGACCCGGAAATCGGTTACATGCCAAAGTCACGTTGGCAAACTGTCACGAAATACCCAATAGCTTCTGTTTTCGACCTTTGTTTTGGTAGAAAAAAATATATAAACTTTTTACAGAACCGATCTTCTTGCTTTATTTGATTTATATATTTGTATTGGTCTGGACACATGGATATGCTGACCGGCTGTGAAAGACATTCATCACAGTTTTTGATTCAGAGTGGTATAATATTTCCCAAAATATTTCAAACACAAATGTTTCCTTAATAAGTTCGTTATTCCCGAATTTCCCACCTTGCAATAGTCCCTACAGCAAAAAAAGAAAAAAAAAAAAAAAGCATAAAAGTCAACTTTATAGCTTGCTTTAGTTTTGTTTTGGATTTTTTTTTATAATTTTTCCTCCGAAACCAGGAAACCCTAGCCAGGTAATTAGAAATTCTCAGTTTCATTTAGAGCTTGTCCACAACACAACTTCAAACTTGCGTGTGCTTATCGCATCCTTAAAACCTTCCAGACCTCTTCAAAATTGTTGAAAAGCCTATTGAGGCTAATAATAATCTTTGAGTTAACTATGACCAATTCACGCCGCGAGCGCGAGAAAAGGAGAACCACTCCGCAGGGCTGAATACGCGATGTGGAGTGTTATAAAATTCCACATTCTCGCGCGTAACGCTTTCTCTAGAGACCTCTAGAAGTGTTGTTTAGCGAAGATAAACAAAGTTATCTTTGGTTAACTCAAAGAACTTGCAGAAATACCTCCAGCCTGCATAAAAGAGCCAAGCGAGGCGGAAGTGGCATTTTGCACGAAGCGTGAGAAGCGACGAGGGGAGGAGAAAAATAAAGCTTTATTTTTCTCCATCCCTCGTCTCGCGCTTCGCACTCGTTTCGTGCTTCGAGCAAATACCGCGTTCGCCTCGCTTGGCTCATAAAGCGGCTGTTATGCAGGCTAAAATACCTCTTCACATTTATAAGATAAGGTGTCATTGATTTGTCAGAGCGGGAAGAGACATTTATAACGTGCAAATAGTCACAAGCTGAAAGGTAACTGACTGATTTGTAACAAGGACTCACCCTGACAAACAAGAAATGATCTCACTTTCCGAAAAGGAACGCTCTTTTAAACATAAACAAACTTCAAAAATAAGTAAAGGAAGCAAAACAATGAACAAAATAGATTTTTTCTTGACTTAGTTATTCCGGCGAGAACAAATGGTGAATGATTCACTCCTGGAAGCAAGCCTCTGAGGAAAAGTGAGAACACCGTTTAGGCAAAACTCTACAATTTGTGTACTTTACTAGCCTGTTCACAGACTCTCTTCATTTTTAGATATCGTCGAGTGCACGTATAAAAAAAAAAACCGCGTTCCGCCCTCTCTCACGAGCAATCGCTTATCTTGTGCGCGCACCAAATTCCCAAAACAGAAAAACGTCTGTGAGCAGGGTAGTACTTTCTGTTTCTACATATTTTTCCCACGGAGCTGGCAAGTGCAATTAATGACGGCTTTTTTCAGCAGGTCAACGTAGAGCGCTTTGCGGCGAATAGGCTTGGGAGGTACTTCTAATTCTAGTTGCTGACAAATGTTTTGAAGCATTCCAAGTTTAAGTCGCTCCAGAGATCCTCCCTTGGCCATGGCACAGAGATTGTACTGATCGTAAGTGATGGGGTGCTGTAGCGTGATGGATAGGATTGTTTCTCTTGCCATGGTAAAGTTTTCCTCTTCTACTACAGCTTGGATTTCAGCATCGTCGGATGTTTGCCGTCGGACCTTCGCTGCAAGACGTGAGAAATATGAAGTGCACTGCTGCGGGGTAAGAAACTCGGATACTTTGAACAAACGAACACTATCAGGTCCTTGTGCACGTCTCATTTCACGTGATACGATATCACCGTCCAGTTTTCTGCCGCTGGTTTGACCAATTGTAAACTTCGCATTTAGATAATCCCTCTGGTTTTGGTTAAAGCGATATGCTTTTTTTTGCTCGGCTTTAGCGCCCATCCTTCTTTTTTACCTCTACTTCGCCGGATGTAGCCTCTCTTGTATCCCTAAAAGACGCAAACGAAATAACTTGACTGGTCGTGCCCTCCTCCAACCTGGACTTGTAGTCTAGTTTGGCAAGGTCTAACAAAGACCGTTTCTCTAAAGACTTGGTGCATTTCTCTAAAGATAGGTGTTTTTCGAGAGAAGACAGCCTTTGAAAGACCTTAACACACCCATCCTGAGGGCAGGTAGACACAGATGACGATTCATTTGTATTGTCAGTGGGATCATGAACCTGCTCCACTTCCGTCTCTTGCTTCTTCCTTGACTGAGTCGGTTTTGGGCTAAGGGGCCTGAAGTCTCCAGAAGAAAACTCAGATGAAAGCCAACCAATTCCATGCTCTGAAGTAGATAACACATAAAGAAACAAGATTTACATAAAAAGCACTGTTAACCTACTTCAATACTTCACTCTGCACAGTCTGTGAAGAGTGCCCCTTTGGTCCACTTTGCTGCGCGAACAGATGAAACGTTTGCTTTTAACATCTTATGACCGGACATGTTCTTCAGAACCGCCATATTCTGCAATGTTCGTTTTAAAAATTTTGTAGAACAAATCAAGGACTATAAATTTATAAAGGGTCTAAGGGGCTTAAGTCTTTTGCAAAGCAAAACCCCACGGGGTGGCAGACACCCGCTCCTCCTGCGTACCAGGATGGGAAATGGATGCCTTTCATGCGTCTGAAGGCTATAACAAACGATACACGTACACCTTTTTACTCAAACTATAAAAAAATATATATTTGCGCGATGAAATAATTCTAAAAAAGGAAGAATTGTGAATTTTCATTAGACTAACCTTCTGATGTTGTTTCCAATGGGATCTCTTTTCCCTTTCCCATACCATAAGCGCGCCAAGCTACGAGAATTTCGTCTTTAAACTCGAAATTGTTTTATTTGTTGATATCAATAATCTTTCTGTTGTCATCTACTACTGCTTCCTCTTCAACACTTTGCATGACAGCAACTCGAACTCCTTCTATCCCCCCATGCGAAAGAAGAGCACTCTTCAGTTGTTCGGCATTGGTCACGTCATTTCCTTCGTTTATGAGAGTCCTGACGTGATTCTTGCAGGTTGCAGCGAGCCTGTCTGCGGCACCTTTTCCACCCCGTGGGTCAGAAAAGTCAATGCGCTTGATTTCGATGCCGGTGGAGGAGGATATCACTGGGCATGAGAGTACGGTGGACGACGAATGATAACATCCTGCGTTATCTTGGCGAAAGAACGCCTTGTTAATCTCACTGTGCTCCAGCTTGATGGTATTCAGGACATCCTGCATGATTTTAACCACTGCAGCACTGCCTTGATTGCACGACTGGACTATGTGCAGAAAGCCCTGCCACTGGAGTACCCCGCTCACACGACGGTAGACGACAGAAACGTGCCAGGAGATACCTCGCTTACCAAACCAGTCGGTTTGGGACTCTCTGTATTTCTGTGGCAGGAACTTCATGGCCCAGTCGTTAATTATCAAGACAGTGTTGTCGTCAAGTTTCTCCAGTGCATCTATTCTCGCTTGGTCTTGGTTAGCTGATCTAAGGATGTGGCATTTCCAGGACATTATGGCCAGCTGGGCTGTCTGGAATATAAATAGCGCTTCGTCTTTCGCGTCCTGAGTCGGAAAGGTCGTCTCGCCAAGGACCCGTTCAATCTTTGCCAGAGTTTCCTGAAGACTTTGACAACGGTCACAAAGATCAGTGTGTTGGTGACTGCATTGTTGCTGGTAATCTGCATCACTACTTTCGCTAAGAGTAAACAACACACAATGGTCTGCTACGTTAGAGGGGCTTGTGACATGAACCTGTTGATAAGACAAAACTGAGATTACTGTTTGTCTGTGCTTATACTTCAATATAATAGTTAATCAAATGATTTTTTAATCTAACGTATATTATTATCGAAAGGGGGCGAATAACTTTTAACCTTAACCATAGGAAAAAAAAAAACTATCCTCGTGCGCGCATTGTTAATCTTGAGAATTTATGTAAGCTAGTTACACGTGCACCATTTAGTGAAGAAAAAGAGTACAAAATATATATTTGCTCTACGGAATGATTTTGTTGACGAGGTAAAATAAGTACTTACTTTTAGTTTTATTCAAGCTGTCTTTCTGGAGTCAGAATACACATTACCTTATAGTCCCCCTTCAAATACTGCTTGCTTGTCATAAGAGCTTGCACAACTGTAGTCTCCCACTCCTTGCCGGAACCTAATCCCCCTATTTGGCGTACGAGGGCCACGAGATCATCAAATGCGCGAGCACCTTCAGCTGCAAAATAATCTAAGCCCTGCAGTGATTTTCTTACAGAGGCACTGCACTCAAAGAGTACCCGTCTCATAGTAGTTTCGCTGAATGGTTTGAAGTTGATCTCCAAACAGTACTGAGTGTACTGTTGTATCACTCGCTCGGGTATCATCATACGGATTACGTTAGGTACTTGAATAACCTCACCAGACGAAAGCTTGAGATGTTTTTCCCCAAATGGAAGGTCCTGAACAAGATGCGGGCTCGTGATGAAACCAAGAAAGTGGTCAAGCTGCCTCAAGTCTACTCGTATTCGTGTGGTAGGCTGTTGTGGAACTTGAGCGCCTCGGCCAAACTGTGATCGATGAAGATTAGCCATGGAGTATCGGTATCTTGTCAACCCCGGGATATAACTGGAAGTGTCGTTGAAAGTTCCAACCCCTGCCATAATCGAAAGCACTTGTCTACGGGTATCTCAGCTGGTTGCATTCTGGTACACTTCTGCTAGGGCCTCTAAATACAAATGCTCTGAATGTGACAACTCACTTACACCTAGGGCCTTGTTCATAGCCGTAGAACAGGCTAAACGTCGCCAGAGTTCACCAGCATTATCAGGGGTGACGCTCTTTAGCACAGTTGCTACTATTTCTGTGGCTGTCCTTGTTTGACGTTGTCTTGTTCGCTCAGAGGAATCACTCCAAGAAAGCCATGGCTTTCCAAGCGGTTCAAGTTTGCATGCTGCCGGGAACTCACTCAGCTTTTCGCGCGGCTCATGTAAGATCACAGGTGTGGGCTCGTCACTCTGAGTGGAAGCTGTGCTTATTGTGTCTGGTGACAGAAAGGTGTCATCAGCGATTGTTAGACGTCCAAGGCTTTCTGCGAACTCTTCAACAGATTGACCAGCATCACTTTGTCCTGGAGATGAGTTTGAGCTGTTCTGTAACATACAAAAAAGACGATTAGACATCAATGTTACTTCAATATTTCTGTTTATTTTGTCTTTAGGCATTATTTTTTTTATTATAGTTCGAAACTTAAGTTATACATCATTTTAAAAAAAGAAAATATGAATTTACATGCATACCGCTATCATTATAAATACTCCCGCTCCAGCCAGACCGAAAGGAATTTAAAGAAACGAACAGTGACCTATTCGTCTTAAAATCATTTTCAGAGTCATTTTCAAAGTTTACAGTTATTCACAGTTACCCAGCCCTTTCGGAATTTTGGCATTTGCTATGTTGGAATAACAGTCTGTATCCAAGGTTACCGTTTACTTACTTACATTTGCTTCTGAAGTCTCTAGTTCTACGCATGGAGTAACTTCAATCATTGGTGCGGGTGTCACTTTCTGTTGTTGGTTTGTCTCCGCGAAATGTTGCTTGCACATTCTGCAAAGAGCTGTAGCAAAAATAAATGTTAACCTTGTTAAAAGGCCATCGCCGATTTCTTTACTATTCTTCAAAGCCATTTTCTTTTTGGGGAGGGGAACAGGAGAATAAAGGGTATTGTAACGCTTGCGCATATGTTGCTTTACGCCCTCGCTCGTTTAAAATTAAAGCGTATACTTTAGCTACAAATGTGTTACGATAAACTTACGCGATCCAACTTGAATAAGTATTCCTTCAGTGTTTAAAATAAATGCAGATAGAACGCTGTCCAAATGCCGATCGCCTTTGACCGAGGCTGTTTTGTGAGCAGCTATTTCTAGTGGAATGCTACGCTTCACTTTTGAGGATCTCCAGCGCATACCAAATTCCGCTCTGTGGTGAGGGCATATTGTCAATGACAAGTGGGACTCTTCCACTGCAAATACCCCTAAACAAAGGTAAAGGGAAAATTACCCATTGCATACATCAAGAGCGAGTTGAGAGGCTCGTGTGCTAGGAGATCTCGAGGTCCCCTTTTTCATAAAAAAGTCTTTAAAGTCTGTGTATTAGTGATAGGTGTGTGTGCGTGGGTGGCGGAGCGGGGGGGGGGGGTGGTGAATAAAGATCTTTTTTGCTATCGTAAGCGTTAATATTTGGTATTAATATTAGCGCCGCGGATAAAAGCCTGCGATTTTTATAGAGATGAACTCGTTTGCTTATTGTTCTTGCAAGAAGGATACAAAAGAGCGGTAGGCAAGTACTGGGGAAAATAATTTTGTCAAATGGAAGGGGACATTTCGGTTCGATCGACCGAAATAACCTGACCGGTCAAATTGGACCAGCTTCAAAGGCGTTCCCAAATATTCTGGTAGGACCGAACCAAAATGGTCCATTCCATTTGATTTCTAACCGAAACTTGCGGAATTTTGGGCTGAATGGAAAGCACCCGAAGATTTTCTTAGAATAACATGACCATCGTGAGGTCTGTGATAAAGAGATGATGGAAATGTACACCACTATTAGCCGCTACGTAAGACGGTAAGACGGTACATAAGATTTACCTGCTCTTGCTAACAGCAGTTTCCATTCAGTGTCAAGTGCTGTATCTGCTTTTAATCCATACAGCTTGCAGTGCCTCGAAATGTCCCTTGTACAATTTCTTAAAGCGAAAACTTCAACTTGGCCTGGATAATCGCTGCTTAAACCACAGGGTGTGGCGTCGTGTAATAAACCAGAAAAACTTCACGAGTGAAACGTTGCCGAAGCCATGACAAAAAACAAAGCTCTCCCAACAAACGAGACAAACTCCACTAACGCTGTTTCGGTATTCGTAATACTAGACGGGAATAATTCAATTAAAAATAATATCGTAGAGGCACGTGCAATAGTAAGTGGCGAAACAGTTCGTGACAATATATAAATTTTATTCCAGGAGCATTTGACCTGGAAATGTTTTATTAATATTGTTCCTAGAGTCGAATATTTCTACACTGATGATCTATAAACAGACGTACGGTTGTACATTTTTTCATTGGGACTGCTGTAATTGCTTCTTTGTCTGTTTACATTGTGTACGAAGTATAGCACGTACCGTCATATGCGACAAGCTAGCGTGACCAATCTCTGCACGTTTGCTAAATTACACATCACATGATCTTGTTATCCCGTCTAGTATCTGATTTGTTCGCTCAATAAGAATAATACTCACCTTGTTAACTGTGTGGTTTGAGCAGTGGTTAATTTTCATCATTGTATGTTATTTTCGGACCAAAACATAATCGGGTTTCATTATTATTAAAGCGTCTGATAATGCGTAATAAGCGCTGCGTGGGAAGTGTTTAGATAGCTCAAGCGCTGAAGTTGCTGGACACATTTTGGTCAAAATCAGGTATGGATGAGTTGCCACTTCACAGGAAAAACAGATTGAGAGATGGATTTAACTTCTATCGCAACAAGCAATGGTAAGTTGTTCGTTCAACAAAACTTTGCGTTAAAAATATGAATTCATTCAGCGGGCCGTCTAATTTGCATAAATTTTATTTACTCAGATACTCAAATTGCTTACTTTAGTGTGAGGACTATATTGGATTTCCAGAGCTAAAACTTTCCAGTAATTTAGTTCAATAGCCAAGGTTTTATTCTATATGGGTTTTACTAGGAAGCGGCATATACCAGTGGCCTTTTACAACAGTTAAAGTTCGCCTTCATTTATTAACATTTCCAGGGATACAAATTTGACCTTTTTAAACTTGTCGATTGTAAATGTTAAAAACTTCTTTCTTCAAATTTCTTTCAGGAAATTACAGAGTAAGTACGAAATAATACTCGGCTGAAGTTTCGATGTTAGGGATTGTTTCTTATGCGTTCACCGTTTTCTCGAAGTTGCGGTCGGATTTTGTTCTTTTGAGTACGAAAAACCAGCAAAAAATCGATTTTTCAAACTTTTTGTAATTTCTCCCGTATAATGAATCGCTTGAACCCAAAATTATTTTTTCTTCAATAAGGTTACTAAAAGGGATGTTTTGGCGAGAGGAAAAAAAATTCGTTTTTTTCACGAGTGTCATGCGATTTTCGATTTTCTCGGAAAATGGCTCTTAAGTAAACACTGAAGAACATCTCCATTGTTTTTTTCTAATTTGAACTAAAATATTTCTCCTTGAGCTGCATATATAGTTACTTTTCCCATTTCTATAGAACTGGCGACATCATTTCATAAATAATTAATTGAAAAAAAGCAATTAAACGGAGAAGTTCACATTAGTCGGAAACTGTTTTCACTTGTCTCACTGTGAGCCTTTCATACTTCAATATCATAATTACATTGTTGTTTTTTTTAAGGTTTTCTTTAATTAAACAGTTTTACATGAAGTTTAGCTTGGAACATTTTATAACTCTCGCAAATCAAAGAAAAAAGCAAACCAAAATGAGATTTCATGGCAAAAGTAAAAATGAAAGTTAATCAAAACTGAACGAAACAAATTATCGCAATGATTTTTAAGTAAATTTATTTTCCAACGAAGAAAAAAAACTGCTAAAGAAGAAAACATCTGTACAAGACGAAATCCTCGAGGGTAAAGCGCAGAAACTAGCACACTCTAATTTTTAATTCGACCAGAAGACAGAGCACAGTTTGCTTTTACTAAGTCAAATTCTCCCTTTGCATGAAGAATGATGCTTATGGATAAATAAAAAAGACCTTACTTCGTGTAGTTAGGAAAACCTTAAAGCTTTTTAGGTATCAACAATGGAATTCCTTAACTTACCGTTTCCTTGAACTGTGTGAAGATATAATGTGAGCGAGATCTTTAGGATAAGAAAGGAAACGAAGAGGTCGAACATCATGATCATCAAGGTAGGAAGCTGAAGCACTATGTGGGCCAAGAAATCTGACTTGAACGCTGACAGGTGTATTTTGAGATATCATGACTAAATTCTGGCCTATTTACGCCAGTAAGTCACGCCAGGGGGGGCGTTTCTCTAAAGTCCCGTTAACCGTTAATATTTTAAAATTCATTTTTATTATTCTGATGTTTTCGGTATCTTTTAATCCTAAGGAAATATGGTGCAGGATGAAGCTCAGAAACCAGCTCATTTTAGTTCGTATGGTCAAAGGTGTAGCTTGTGGGAGGACTCAAATCCTTGCCCTGAGTACTTATAGAAAGAGCAGAAGTGCCGAAGAAGCATAGCACTGTGATCGACAACTAGGTGTCCATAATCACCAGTGCCGAGATGGGAACTAAACAGCTTCTTCAGCAAAAATCCCCACTCCTTGCACTTAAATGAAAAGGCCAAGAAGATAAGAGTGGCATAAGTAAGTCTAACCAAAGAGAGATTAAGTATATTAATTGGGGGCTAGCAGTTTTCCTGAGTGTGTAATTAATAATTATTAACTTGCTGGTGATGGCAGTTTTAATCCAAAACCTAGGGCATATAATAGTAAAGCTAATGTATAAAAGTAAATTTAAATTATTTCTGGGTATCCTCATTTCAGACAATTTAAGTTCTTAAATCCATATTTGAAACATTGAAAAGGCAGTGAGTCTTAATGCGAGAAAAAAAAATCACGTTCACATCATAAATGTCAATCTGTTGTTCTTCATGGTCTTCAAAGACTCTCTCATGCATTGTGAGAGCAATTTCTCTCCAATCACAGCAAACCTAGTATAAATGGTTTAAGGCAATCATCAGTCTTCAATTCAGCCCTGATTAATTGATATAAATTACCTGCAAAGTGACTTACTGCATCAGGCAAACCTTTAAATAACATTTACTGATGTGGTATTTTAAACATAGACAATTTTCTCAACTTACCCTTGAAAACATCTCAATTTGAAGTTCAGCTGCATATTTGGCAAAAGAACTTAAGAGGACAGTTGAAACCCTGGCTGAATTTTCTCCCTCTTTTTTGTTTTTTCTTGCCTGGCTCTTCAGCATTTGACATTTCCTCTAGCTTAAGGAATGCTGTTTCCACCTCATTTTGTTTTTTTTTCCACCACTCTTCAAGTTTAGGCAAAAAGTCTTTAAGCTCTGTTGGAGAATGGACACAAGATTTACTTAATTTGAAAAATTATTTCATGTGAACACCACTACGAACACCAATGCAGGACAAACAACAAAGAAGAAACAATAAAAACAAAACAGTTCACTTAAGTGGATGGAAATTGTATACTTAGATTCACAGGACCTCCATGTGTCACAGCCCAATTTTAGAGAAAAAATTGGATAAAAATTGTAGTTCACTGTATGACAGTGTAATCATTAATAGCTATCTGCAGTAAATGTGATGTACCAAAATTAAGTTATTAGGCATATTGACCTCAGCAGCCTTTACCTTTTGTCTCATCAAGGTAAACTGTTTCCTTTTTAGAGCCATAATCACGTATGTAAGTTCCCCTGTCAAACAGGTCACTCACAAACTGTAAATCAAAGTGTTGCATTTCTCAATTAGCAAAAATTTAACAATTATCATAGCTAGGAATTCTTTATGACAAGGTTTTTGAAACTAAGCTTTATCTTATTTTCAAGGCATATTTAATTTTGACAGATTCTCCCTGGATTCAATCAAACAATCATATTCCAATATACGATAAATGCTGAGGCTGGGGTTCAAAAGGTGAAATGCATACCATTATGTGCTCTTCAAAGAAAGCAACATAGCTAAGAATAACATTTCTTGCAGCTCCAGGATTTTCCATATAATACTGGGTCACTTTCTCCAGGGGCAGTGATCTTTCTACTATGTCTTCAAAATTCTGTAGAACTGTTCTTTCAGTAGACCCTGAAGAATAATAATTTGTAGAATATTCATCTGTGAGTTTGGAGGAATGTAAATGTTATGACACACACTAGCAGTGTGGTTAGCATAAACAGTCGCAAAACTACATCAGGTAACTACATGTCAGGTAAATGGAAATTACCAGAAAAGAATATACCTTGTCTCTAAAACAAACTGGTTGTTCAAATGAGTTTCATGCTGTTACTGAGAATTAATACAGCTCTTCCGTATGTTTCATATGTACTGAATTAGCTAATTCCTAATAAATAGCATTGGGGATGCTAATAAAAAAATAATAACTGGCCTAAGGTGAATGATAAACAAATATGGCACAATAAATTATATCGAAAACAAACAAATGGCATACCTGAAAAAGATGCTACTTGAATGTTTTGTCTCATTATTTCTGTTTGCTGGCCTTTTTGTTCCTGGATAGTTACTCGTGGAAACCCACGGCAATTTTCAGGACCATAATTGTTCAAAACCTCATTTAATTTATCAAGGCTTCCAATGCGATAGGCAAACAACCCCGATGAACCCAAAAGCTGTTCACAATTTCTCATCTCACAATGCAGAGAACAAAGGTTAATGCTGCTTAATTCTTCCTCTAATAGGAAATTAAGGTCATCTTGAAGGCCTGAACACCTGTATAGAGAGAAAGTAAAGAGAGTTGGTTGGATTAGATTTGCCACACATGAAACTTGTCTGTATGATACCAATAAATTTTATCAGGTATCTCACCTTCCGATGTTGGCTTTTGACCTTAAACAATCTAGACAGGTTTCATCTGCATCAACTCCATGGCATGTACAGGCCTCAATGAAAATAAGTATTTAATTAAAATTCATTTCTTAGGTAATTTCATGCACTTTAACAACAGATATAAACATTCAATTCTACAAAATAAAGTCATCAATGGCTGTTTTTCACTACAGCCATGTACTACCTCAAATTTGACTTGATGCCATTCTACTTTCAGAAAACTGATCTGATCATAAATTGATGAAATAATTAAAAGCAAGGAAAATATCAAGAGAAATAATTACCCTGATTGCATCACAAAATACACAAAATTCCACACCATATCCTTTCCCACCAAGAAGGAAATCTTAATCATTTTTTTTGTTGAGAAGAAGCAGCAAGGCCTTGTAATCAAGAGTCACTGCAGAAAAAGGAAATTTAAGGAAACAATTGCAGAATATACTTTGATGTTCATAACACATGAGACTTAACACAAAATAAAAAAATTGTGTCTCAGGAAAACTCCCTTCTCCACATGATTTAACTTAATTTAATTAAACAATGACTCAAAGTTATTGCACAGTGAAGTAATAATAGGCTCTGTGTGGAATGTTTTCTTTTCCTTTTTTCAATGAGTAACTCTGAATGTTCAATTAAACAGAAAATTTAGCTGCTTTGCCTACTTAATTCCAAACTTTGTCATTTTGCAGTTTCCTTTTCCTCTTAACTTTCTATCTCTCTTATTAAAAATTACCTGTGAAAGAAATGTTGTACTTTTTACCATCAACCCATATTCCATGTTTTTTGATGACATCTTTCTGATTATTGAGGTTCTCAAGTAACTGCTTTAAATTTGACCTAATAAAAAAAGGAGAGAAAAAATTAAAAGAGAACACTTGCAAAAGCACCTTCATTAATGCAATCCCACTTCTCTGAGTATTGTAGTATTTACAGCAAAAATGATGGCAATAATGTAAGAGCCTTTAAAATTATTCAAAGTCTTCTCTTCAAAACCAGTAACATGCACTATTGTCTGCATGCACCAGCATGTGATCCAATACACATTTTATAACTGTATTTTTTTATTTTTGTAAATGATTAGAAATGGTCATTGTAAAATTAGTTATTATAATTTTTCTTCACTGATTATTTGACCTGTCTTACTTAAATCACCACTTACCTTTTCTCTTTACAGTTCCCAATTGCAAGGGGGTAAATAGACAGTGTGCTCTCAGAGCTTTTGTTTTTAAAATCAATGTGTGCCAGGCCTACAGCTACTTGGTCTTTACCTGAAATAAACCAATACAAAGACACCTTTGCTTAATCTGGCCAGGATTACACTTTCATACTCAAGACTAACAACTCTCAAAAAATTTACTCAAATGAGAACACACCTCCTAGTGGACGTCCATCAAGTTTAATGTTAAACTCTTTGTCTTCTGAGTTGCATGAATGGAGGTGCTGCTCCCTAATTGCCCAGACAAGAACAGAATTTAGATGCACATTCCAAGCATCAAAATCTGCATCCTTGACCCTGGCAATTTTGAATGTTTTCTGTACCGCAGAGAAGACTAGTTTCTTCAGTGCCTTTATCTCATTTTTGGTGAGCAGTACAGGCGTGTCTCCAGCTCTCTAGAAAAAAATTATCCAGAAACAGGTTTAGATCAACTGTCACTTTATAAATGTTAAAAAAGGTTGACATCAGTTATGTTCAGAAATACATTAAAAAATAACCCACTAAAAGAAGTCTCAATAACTGCATTTATTTTTCCCTTTCCCCATCCGTTCCGTAAAAGAAGATGTTTCCGAGGACGGCAGCGATGGACTCATTGTACCTCTCAGAAACGTCATCAAGGACAGCTGTTATCTTCCTGCACCTTTTGAGAACTTGTCTTTTCTTGTTTATTGTTCCTAAATCAGGTCGGTTCTTTGTGTCATCGATTGAACTACACGAGGAACTAGACGAACTTAACGGAGTAGATGAGCAACATGGGGAATTAACTAGGGAAGAATCGTCTTGACTTGCCTCTGTGCTCGATTCGAGATGGGAAATCCGTGCTTGGAGTTCCTTCACTTCCACTTCAAGGGAATTTATTCTGGCTGATCTTTCGGCAAGCAAGGAAACGGTCAGCATTAGATTCCATCCACCAAAACCACCTCGGTCGAGAGGGACTGAGACGGAATATTTAATGACTTGCAAAACATAACCGAAGATTCTCGGAAATCCGCAAGTGATGTAGCCGAACATCCGAAGCTGTAAATCCCATGATTCTTGAGGAACAAACAGAAACAGCATAGCGTGAATTTTAAGTCGCGAACCATTGCTTGATGGTAGACATGCAGATAATTTAGGATACGTAAATTCTGTTGATGAGGCGCATAAACTTATTGCGGAATTTGAAACAGGATTGACGACGAAGTTTTCTTTCTTTAAAGCTGTCAAAGGTTTCGGGAACACCGGTGTATATATATATACATATATATTGATATAGCTCTTTGGCATTACAAAGCTTTGCTATCGCTATTGTGCATTCTCACTAGTTTATCTAGTTCAAGTCCTCTGGCATGGCTTGGATGATACCACAATTGTGGAATCATTCGGGTTAACTTAATGCTTACATCTCCTTCCTCGGACAGAAGTCACAAAATACTGGGGGAAGATGCATGAGATATTTAAGGAGCATAAATTCGTTTTTCACTGGTGTGCCTTTCCTAATTTTGGGAAGGAAAGTGTTCAATTGCCAACACGGCATAGATAAAACAACTGGAGAGAAAAGGAAACGAAAAGATGCAGAAAAAGTACTGTGTATAATAATTTCTTTTTATCCTCAACCTTTGTGTTACTGTCAACTATGGCTTGCTAATTCGAAAGGTCAAATACATGAATGGGTCATATGACATCGATCTCAGAATACTTTTAGGACAAACGTGATAACACTTCAATCTTGGCTAAATTGAAGATGATTTAGAAGTTAACAATTATAAGAACTTTTCACTAACATATGCTGCTGACAAAGGAGAAAATATATGCAATTCTGCATTTTTTGCTTTCTATCAAGCAATCATATGTTGGCTCCTTATCATGCTATGACACTTCCGTTTTGTCACATTCCAAAAAATAACTTGAGAAATACACTGTCACTCATCTTACACTGTTATATTTACCTGTTACAGAAGGCCGAAAACAAAGATTTTGTTTTCAAGAAAATAAGATTTCTTTTCCAAGACACAAGGAAGTTTGACTGCAAAGCACAGATAAAAATGCAATAAATTTTATTTTTTTCAGAGAACAAGGTAGTTATACTCATGTATAAACAGAACAAATCTGGTTTAATAAATCAGATATGAGGCATGACTCCTTTTCTTCCATCCCCACTCAAAACAAGCAAACACACCTATATAGGTTCCACTCTGGTCTGCAAATGAATAGGAGGAAGGTGATCACTACTAAATTAAGCATTAGGGTTCTTATTTATAACATATTGATTATTGTATACTGGTATCAAGAAATTAAGGTTGCAAGTAGCAGCCAGCTGAGTTATAGTTTGAGTTTTATCAAGTCCATTACTTTGTTAAATTTAGAGTAACCTTGTCTTGAGAGAAGGAAATTGAGGAGCTGTAATATACTTATCATCAATTAGGGACCACAAAGAAAAAGTTATTTATAGAGACTTTTGAAGGAGAGGGGTAAGACTTGTGACAAGCTGGCAGACATATAGATAAACTTTACTGCTAAATGGGTTACAATACAAAGTGCTCAGTATTTGGATCAGCTATGGCTCAACTTAAACTTTGCTTTAGCTTCAAGTTTAATCCTTTGTGGTTTCCTTTCTCTGTGTTTATTTTTCAAGTTATATACACAGAAGAACACAAAAATGACAAGGAATGCTTTTGAATAATAAGAGGCTGGAATAAGCAAGAAACCAAAACTGAATTTTAAACAGTACAAAGTTCATTTGATCTTCCAATGTTATTTAATTTTGACCATTAATAGAATTTGCTATTTAGATTTATCCCCTCCATTTTTCTGGATATTGTGAGCAAAAACAAACAATTATCACAAAATGCATGGTATACAATGGTTTGATTCACCAATGTGGCAAAGGCCTTTCACTGTCTATCCATAAAAAGGGAAATAGTTTGTAAAATGTAAGACATTCTGCATTTTGAGTGTATACTTATTCATCCATGCAAAATTAAAGGTTACTTTAAATAAATGTGAAAGATTGATAGGATTATCAGACCCCTGATAACAATTACTGATGTGCTGATTTGTTGTACTTAAAGGTTATGATTTTAGCGGAAATAGTGGAAGAAATTTCTGGACCTGGAATTTTGTTGCAAATGTCTGTTTAAGTCAGTTTAAGTCAGTTATAAACTCTCCTGTTTCAAGATTACATGATTGCCACACCAGAACCTTTTGTATTCTATATTGTGCACCATGCTATGATTATGGTTTCAATAATAAAAGGTGCTGACTCAAGAACTTTGCAAAATATCTCTACATACAAAGAAATAGATTGTGGTTATGTACTCCAAATAGCAGGTCACACCAGTCTTCTGTAAGGAAGTAGCAGAAATTGCTATGGTGGTTTTGGTGGATGGAAAGAAACATCCACCAAAACCACTTTATTCTATGTGTTAAGAGTTATGATAATCATTATGAACGTTTGGTCGGTCAGCAATTGTGCACCATAAAAAATAATTAGCCAGAGCACTAACTGCTAATTAGTGGTATAAATCTTTTGTCTCCCTGAATATCTAACAGTGGCTATAGATAAAATTAAAAAAATATATTGTTGATGGTTTTGGTCAAAGTTTTGGTGGATGTTCCCTAATGACATCCACCAAAACTACGTAACATCTGGGCACCTTTTAAATACGTGAAATATCTGCATAAAATTGCGTAAAATGTTTTATGATACTGCAATCGAACAATAAATTAATACTTACCATTTCTTGAGTAAAAAGTTTTGACGCAATTTCCCAAACAAATAATACACTTAGGTCATCGGGATAAGTCGGCATGTTGTCGTAGCTTCGTAATTTTAATTTAGTATAACAAGTCATGAGTTGTCCATCATTCCATCTCAGTCCCTCTCGACCAAGGTGGTTTTGGTGGATGGAATCTAATGCTGACCCAAGGAAACTAGCTCCTCGGAGTCTTGACTGGTTTTGGCGCCAAAAGATAAATTTTTCGCGCCCTCGGACTCAAAGTCTAGTGTGGTGGAGTTGACCAGATTTACGATTGCCATAAATCCCGCAGAATGAATAAGTTCGTCGGGAATTTTTTTATTGCGAAGAAGACCATCAACCAGACCGAACGTGGACACAACGTGGACGACGTCGGGAATCCTGTCCATCTCCACAACTCCAAACGATGATTTGGCGGGCTGAAGTTCCCGCGTAGCCACACTTTGGATTTCATTGGGAAATATCTTAAATACATCGCGTATGAAAAATTTACGCAGAGGGACGCCACATACCTCTTTCAAAAGTAGATACCAGTGCTTGGAAGGGTCAAGTGTGGCACTTGTAACCCTGCAAAGACTCTGAGCGGTAAAGTCAACCGGGAGCAAGGCGCACGTCGACAATCCAACTGCCTCCATGACTTCACTTTGAATGGTTTCGAAATCGAAAACACGATGCTTGACAAATAATAACAATAACAATAAACAATAACTTTGATCGGAAAGCGAAAACATTGATCGATGCACTGAGTGGCGTGATACTGGAAATTTGATATGGTTGTTGCCAAGGTCGTAACGGCACGTGAAAATAACGATATCTTTTGTTGCTGTTTTGTGGCAAACCAAGCGAAAGAATACATAAATAATTGAAACAGAGACTTTTATAAATACGGCGCCTGGCAGGTATCGCCTCTTCTGTGAAAAAGGAGGATCTTAAAAAAATTACGTGATTAGAAACGTCATAATAAGGAAACAGGCGGGATCAGAAAGAACGCAGTTTTTTAATGAGCATTACGCATAGCAAATTTTCTAATATTTCATGACTTTGATTTTCATTGTTAATAAATGACCCCACGTTAACTCGCACGCAATCGCGTATCTCTCGCGGATTCGTGGGCGCCAAGTCTATGTAATTACATTGCGGTGTAATTTATGTGATGACATCCACCCAACACCTTACCCTAACCTCGGCGTCAGTTTACGATGCCTGCTGCGAATTCTTTTCTTGAGCAAAGCTCGTCATGTGCGCCTTAAAGATGTGAAGTGGTGTTTAGATAAGGGAATTGCCAAAGAAATCGAAAATTACTAGCTGACCCAGCTTAACACTTTGCTCGAGCGATCTTACGCCGAAATTCAAAACACATGGTTAAACCTCGGAAACGACGATTCCATTTCATCGAAAGTGATTCGGACACTGATTGAACAATTCCTTCAACTGTTTAACCAGACTTTAGACTTTTTTGCGCCTTAAAGATGTGAAGATATCATTGTATATTATTGTTTTAAACGTACGCGGTTGTTTTGATCGAACGCGCGGTTTGAATAAGGTATTTTTGCACTTGATGCGCGCGCTTTGCTTCTACTTAATTATGATGAGCCATCTTGTATTTTTTCATGTATATTATTTACACGTAATCACATGATTTTTCTCGTGCAATTTGGAATAAACAAGCACTTGTTAATTTTTTCAAAGATCACAGACGGCAGCCCCGTAGGGCTCGTTCAATTCTGTTAGTCTTTAAAAAAATTTACTTGTGCTTATTTATTCCAAATTACACTCGAAATCATGTGATTACCTTTACAAATTGCTCTATTGCCCATTTTCACTTTGTCGCACGCGCAGTTGACATTATGACATTAATAGTAATTCTTCTAAATGCTCAGATTTGCTTATTAACGAATGTTCAGTTTTGCTCAAGGCAATCTCAGTTTCGCCCAAGATAATTCTCAAAGTTGCTTCAAGGTTCTCAAAGATCACCAGGAGATGACGGGCTTGTAGATCGAGATCAGTTTGCCTGACCTTAGCGTCGATTCCTACTCTCATGCGATGCACTTGTGTGTAAAACAACTAAATAACAATTTTATTATGTATTTTAACGTCAACAACTTACCTTTCGCCCCACGTGAATGACAAAGGAGCAGCGCGCCAGCTGAAGTCAAGAAACGATTCTTCGGGAGCTACCA